GACAAGTAGAGTCTTTGACTTTCTTCTCAGCTGGGTCTGGCAGCCAGCTGGTGCAACTTTGCAACTAGCCCTTCCGCCAGGTCAAGGTTGAGCTGACACGGCCATGTATTCCTTGGCTGGCCTTTGTTAGCCCCCTTTCCTCTGCAGAAAGAAGCTCAGGGAAACAAAGGAGGGACTGTTGCCAGTGGAAGGCCCTTGTAGCTTCCTTCTGGGGCCGGCCAGGACAGCCCAGCCAGTCCACGTTTTCTAGCTGCGTGAGTCTTGTGGCGTACAGTTCCTTCTGAAGGTGGTTCTGATATAAGAGGAAGAGTTACAGTTGCTCTGATTTTTATTCTCAACTGACAATATTAGCAAGTTTATCTGGATGATTGAAAGAGAGGTGGGTGTACTCTGGGGACAGAGGGCATATAAATAAGGAGACAGTCATGATCATTAATTGTGAGATACACTATTCAGGTGATGAGTCAACATTCATAGGCTTCAAGAACCTCTATTTCTATGCTGTTGTGATTTAAGAAACTGGGAAAGTTGTGCCCATTGCTTTGAGTTGCTATAATAAGGGTGTTAATTTGATCAACTCACTGATAATTTATAAAATGGTAGACCTAGGCTGGGTGCAGTGGCTCACACCCGTAATCCTAGCACTCTGGGAGGCCGAGGTGGGTGGATTGCTTGATCTTACGAATTTAAGACCAGCCTGAGAAAGAGCGAGACCCCGTCTCTATTAAAAATAAAAAAATTGAGGCAAGAGGATCACTTGAGCCCAAGAGTTAGAGGTTACTGTGAGCTCTGACACCACAGTACTCTTACCCGGGTGATAGCTTGAGACTCTTGTCTCTAAAATAAAATAAATAGTAGACCTTTCATTCCTGCAGCTCATTGTAATGTATAGGATTTAGAAAGTGCTGTTTCCTTTGTGTCATTCATTGGCAGTAGAAACTTTGTCCCTCTTTTTCATAGTACTGGGGATAAACACTGACTGAGAGGAGTATTGTCCCTAGATGTGTCACCTGGCCGGAGACTGGGATCATCCTATTATAAGCCTTTGGAAACCCTATCGCTGTCCTACCTGGTTGAGGGTTTTTTGTTTGTTTGTTTGTTTGTTTAATATTGTTTGGTTGGTTTTGTTTTGTCCTCGCAGTTTCTTTTTTTTTTTTTGAGACAGAGCCTAAAGCTGTCCCCCTGGGTAGGGTACCGTGGCATCACAGCTCACAGCAACCTCCAACTCCTGGGCTCAAGCGAGTCTCCTGCCTCCACTTCCCAAGTAGCTGGGACTACAGGCGCCTGCCACAACGCCCGGCTATTTTTTGGTTGCAGCCATCATCGTTGTTTGGCAGGCCAGGGCTGGATTCGAACCCACCACCTTAGGTGTACATGGCTGGCGCCTTAGCCGCTTGAGCCACAGGTGCCGAGCCTGTCTTTGCAGTTTCTTGGGAAATTGTCTGAAGTCATTGTTTGCCAGAGATATTTGGGGCTTCTTGGGGGAGGACGTAGACTATGTATGTGAGGCTGGACGGTGGGTGGAGTTACTGGGACTTTGGGGTCCAGTCTCATATGTCATTGCTTCTTGTCCCTCAGAGGATGCTTCCTTACAGATGACCTCAGTGTAGTGTCAGTTCCCCAGCCCTACCCCTACATTGTCACCCTCTGCCTTTTTTAAGATGGTGTATTTATTTAGTTTTTGCCTAAGTTTACCACCATTGGTGCTTTATGTTACCCTGCAGAGGGAATTCAGAGCCTGCCTTTAAGCTATGGGGGCCTTTCCCTCCCTTTACTGACTTTCTCAACAGTGTCTCATTGTGCTGGACACTTAGGTCCTTCCTGTACCTCTTTGAAATGAAAGAGGGTTTAACCTACAGCAAGGAGGGGACCGCCCAGAAAGGACGCTGGGCCCTCCTTCATCAAGGACAGTGCAGCAGCCACGTGGCTCACAGAGTTCTCTGTAGGATCTTCTCCACGGCTTGCTAATTTGCCAAGAAACTTAGTTTTGCATTTCAGGTAGAGGTAGGTTCTCTCATGTTAGATCTTTGATTTCATAGCACTGAGAGCTATTTACACAAGTCTTTAGATCTCTCTCTCTCTCTTCTTCCTTAGTGAATCATCCACAGAGGTAGTCATTTTGAAAGGGTTGAAATATTTGGCTTTATTTGCCAAAGAGTATTTCTTTAAAAAAAAAAAAAATTCCTTCCAAGAAACACTTAAATGGGGCAAGGGTGAATTAAGAATGTGTATGTTTCATTCTTTTACTGTAGAAGGGTTGTAAAATGACGGAAGAATTCTTTTAAGGTAATCCTTTGAGATAAAGGATCCTGGGAAATTCTCTCAGGTAAAGAAAGCTTACAGCAGATGGGTAATATATGTCTTGAGGGCTATTTATAAGAAATTTAAGAGAATTGTTATAGATAAAACTTTGTTAATTTTTTAAACTTTTCAGAAACAACTAGCTGTAGCCAAATTGTATGGTTACATTTTGGTATATTAGAATTTGAAAATGCTGTATGTGTGGTAGATCTACTGTCGGAAATTTATAACAGTCTCTGATATGGTTAGAATTTTGCTAACTTGCTAAAATAGTTAGTTTTCCCCCGTTAGTCA